CGGTGGGGTCCCTCAGCCTGGCCTGCAACCTCTCGCAATCCGGGACCGCTCGGGGGATGTCGGAGAGTCAGTTTCCGCCGGATCCCACAGGCCAGCCCGAGAGACCCACTGGTGCACGGAATTCATGCAAGAGTAGGCCTTCCTTCCCCCGGTTTCTGGCATCGGCTTCCCTCTGGCACCCAGGACACGGGCTTCCCTCCGGCCACCTGCAGGCACCCAGGACCCCGGCTTCTCTCCGGCTGCTGGCAGGCACCTGGAACCCAGGCTTCTCTCGCAGCCCCGGCTTCATCCAGAAGGTCATCTGGAAGGACATCCAAAAGGATGTCTGGTCTAATTAGAATATTACACTTTTATTATTATAGATTAAGTTAAAACAAAACAGGGCAACAACTTAAATATTTACTACCTTCTGATTTGCCTTTTCGGTTGTGCTTTCTTCAACTTCTTCCTTCTTCTCTCACCCAGCTCTTAAAAGTGTTTTGGGTGCTCCTTCATTTTCATTGAGCATTGTTTAATTGGCTAGCATCCTGACTTAATGTCAAGGAGGTTTCTCCATAGTAATATCTCAAGTTATTACCATTGATTATAATGAGTTTGAAAGCAATTTCCTGGAAGAATCAGCCCCCGGTACCTCTACATCTTACCATTAGAAACAACAAACCTGAGGAGAAAGTCCAGGAAGTAATGTTTAAATAGTGTTAGATCAATTAAATTTCCTTTCCTTTCCTTTTATTTCTTATTAAAATAACAATAATGTTATGTTTTAATTAGTTCTAATAGTTTCCCAGAGAGTTAGACAAGGAGTTAGACCATTTTATAGTCATTTTAATAATGAAAAAGCCAAGGCTTTTAAGTACTATGAGATTTGGTAAAAGTCATTCAAAAAATTAAGTGGCCAACCAGGATATCCTCTTTTGTGATATATAAGTTTGTGTCTTACTTTTTTTTTCTGTTGAGTTTCCTGTGTTTTCTATGTTATTTCATATATTGATTTTTTAATGTATTAGTACAGAGTCTTTGTAAATGACCTATATCGTATATATATTCTTCCACTGGCTTATTTTGCATTCTCCTAATGGTGTGTTTTGATAAACTAATGATGCTGATTAATGTTTTCCAGATCGTCAGTCTTTCCCTAATGGTTAGTGCTTTGTTTTTCCTGTGTAAGAAATGTTTGCCTAATGATGTGATGACTTTTTTCTATGTTACTTTTCACAGTTAGTTTCATAATCTATCCAGAATTTATTTTTTAGTATGGTGAAAACTATTTCTTCAGGGTAGGTCTGCTGATAACTAATTTCACTTTTTCCCCCTTGAAAATGTTTTTACATTAAATTACAATTTGAAAGAAGTTTTTATTAGGTACAAAATTTTATATTGGAGATTTTTTTCTTTTAGCACTTTCAAGATGTCATTGCATTGTCTCTGGTTTCTATTATTTCTGTTGAGAAGTCATCTATAGGTCCTATTGTTACTACTTTGAAATTAATGGATTTTTATTTATGAAATAACTTTATATTTTTTTAAACTTTGACTTTCAGCAATTTTACATAAATTGGCCTGAGGTTTGCTTTGTATTAATTCTGCTTATGGATCATAACACTTTTGAAACAGTGATTTGACATCTGCCAGTAATTAAGGGGGAATTATCACCCATAATTTTTCAACTATACTTTACTCTTTATTTTTCTTTTAAACTAGCTTTCAGTGTACTAATGCCATCTTTAGCCTGTGTTTAATTGCTGCCAAATCTACCTATTAAATTTTTAACTTCAATTATTGCATATTTTTTAGTTTTAGAATTTATATCTGATTTTTTAATAGTCTCCAGTAATCTGACCAACTTCTTTGCAATGAAAATGTTCCAATTTGACATTTAATTCTTAAATACATTAATCATTATTTTAAAGTTGTGTCTATTGCTGGATCTCTACTATGTCTATCTTTTGTCTTATTCTCTTGGTTTTCAGTGATTCATTCTTATTCTTTTGAAATGCCATGTAATTTTTTAAATGCTGGACACTTTGTATAAAACATTGTAGAGATAACTTGAGACTCTGAGTGGTTTAATCTTTTCCTAAATAGGATTTATTTTTCTTCTAAAAAGCAGGTGAGACAGAGAAGAGAATATCATAAAATTAGGAATTGAATTGATTAAATATTGGACTTCAGTTTTGGGGTTTGGGTTTTTGGGGGTTGTGGTTGTGTGTGTGTGTGTGTGTGTGTGTGTGTTTTGTTTTCGTTTTGAAGTTGTTCAGAGACCTTTATTCTCTGAACAAATTATGATCCTCATTATTCATTAAGCAACCTACCGAAAACATTTTTTTTATCTCTACTCCAAGCAGCAGCAGCTGCATCCAGGCCCAAAATGAAAGGCACAAATAGTGGAAGGCCTTGTAGAGAAAAGCTAACAGGTGAGATCTCTGCTTACCCTGGTTAGGTGAAGGTAGATTAGGGAAAGTGCATAAGTATAATATTTCAAAGACTCTGTTCTTCTAAGATGAGGCCAGCAAGAGAGGAGCTAGCTAATGGACACAAAACTGCCCAGCTCAGCAATCTGATAACTTCACTTTTTTTAAAGAGCTGGTCTATTTCAAGTTCATCCATGTCCCCAGAGTTCACCTTCAGGAGATCCCACAGAAAACTGGAGGTACTTATCAGAGCCCCTCTTCCTTGGTGGGCCCTGACCTCCAAGTTCTGTCTGTCCTCTTATCTTTACCCCTCCAAACCTCTTAAGACTTCTATAGGCTCTGTTCAACTTGGCACATGTAGAATTTCGACTCACTATGTTGCACCTCCTGAACTTTGTGATGCATTGATGGCTCTTGGGTGCCTTGAAATAAGGTCTTATATAATACTAGAGGCCCAGCGCGCATGAAATCATGCGCGAGTAGCTCGCTTCCGCTTGCCTCAGCTGGCCGCCCCGCCCACCGCCACTGGTAGCTCACACCCCGCCCTCCACTGCTCATAGCTCTCCGCAGCTAGTAGGTCGTGTCCCGCCCCGCCTGCCGCAAGAGCCACTGCTAGTTTGGTCGTGATGGCGTCATGGCGTTTGGCCACTGGCTTTTTATATATATAGATTTCCAGTGTTTCTAGCTGTTCTTGGTACAAGGGTTAGGCTATATCATAGTATTCTACCTTAGGCAGAAATTCCTTTCTTAATGTGATTTCAATTTGCATTTCCTTCCTTATTAGCAAAGTGAATCATCTTTTCACATGACTACATGCCATTTAAAAAAAATTTAATGAACTACTGTAAATTTTTTTCTATCGTATTCTTTATCTTTTTCATCTCTATTTTAGAGTCCTTTATGTATTAAAGATGTCTATGATAAAAAATATAAATATTTCCTCAATTTATAACCTTTCTTTTTTTAAACATTGCTTATGGTATTTTTTCTACCCACAATTTATCATGTTTATATAAAGTAAAATAGTTCCATTTTTTGGTTATTAATTCTGTGCTTTCAAGCATAGTCAGCAAATATTTTCTCTTCTCAGGCTTGGGGAAATCCACCAATGTTTTTTTCTGTGATTATGTCTTTAAAGAATGTGTTGATGAAAAATTAAAAAATGGTCCACTTTCTAGAATTGGCAGAGTGAGAAAGGATATGATACAGTGTTAAGTCCAGTTGGAAGTCCTAAGTTTTGTTTTCTCTTCCTCAGCCCCAGGAACTAATGAAAAGAACTCATGGACACAGTTACTCTTATGTTGTCCTTGAAGGGCTTGGGAGCCTATGAGTCTTTCCATTTCTTCCTGTGTTATCCTCCTTCTGACTTCTCTCCTATCATCAGGGTTACTTCTATACTGATGTCTCCAAAATACGTGCATGTCTAATTCATAATTCTCTTCCTCATCCCTGGATGCAAAAGCTGGTTTGGCATCTTCACAGAAAGGACCCAGTACTTCAGACTTCAAATCTAAAATGTCTTTCTTTACCTTCCTCAAATTTGCTTCTTTTATCTGTCTTCAAATACTACATCCAGACTCAGAGATTGGTCACCTTTAAGTCATACTTCTCTATTGTCAGTAAATCATTACAAAAGTGCAAGTTTCATCTTTGAAGGTATTTTTCTCTGAAGAAATTATAAACTGTATCTTTCCCAACCTTGCTTCATTCTCAACCTCAGGCACACCAAGTTTAATATACTGCAGGCTCAACAATCACTCATGTAATAAACATGAATTTAATCTTCTGTTTAAAAAATTACAGAAATAATTAAAACTCTGAAAGTATGGATTTTCCAGCACACCACATGTGTATTTGTATTTTCAAATGCTCTGGCCTTTCAAGTTCTGAAAACATAATAGATATTTAACTAAAGAAATAAGATGATATTGACTATCTGGGAAATTTCTTACAATAAAAAACAACAACATTCCCTTATTGCTACATTTAAGCACATGATACAGCTCAGTCACAGTGAGTAGATGACAAGCCTTAGAAGCTGTGCAAATAGAGAACAATCACAGCGGAAATTAAAGACTGGACTCTTGGCGATCCAAAATGGCAGCTCAGAGCGGTCTCCTAGGGCAGCAACTCAGCCATTCATTTGTGTTTAAACAAGAAATTCATTGCCAGGGGAATGAATCTTTCTTCATTCAGGCAAGCCTAAGGCAAAGTAGGTTTTCTTTTCTCTCTTCAAAGGTGAAGCTACCTAAACACACAAATATACAAATTTTCCTAAATTTAAATTGCAGGTTATTCTGATTAGACCAAGTTCCCCCGCTTTCATGACACCAGATTTCTAATTTTAAAAGTTGTGTATGTATGTATAGATGTGATTATCTCACAAATTGGAGGACTTACAAGATGGCAGCACTACAGTATTCCAACAGCTCAAACTACTATTTTCTTGTTTAACTTTTTCTACAAAAGAAGTTGAGTCCCAGGAAAATTTTTGAATTTGAGAGGGCAGGGGAGGGTGACAGAACAGTTGGCAGTCAGACACCTCTAATTCTCTGTTCATCAAGGGACTGTCTCCTTTCACTCTTTCAGCTCAAGGCGAGGACACGCCTAGAGTTCCTGTGAAAAGTGAAGGCTCCTGTGACACAGAAAACTCCGCAAGTCCTGATGGTAAGGTCCTAAGCGCTGAGCCCAGGCAGTCTACAGATGCGGCACATTTCCTGTGTGTAATCTAGGATTAAGGGAGCTCACTATTCTATGAATTAACACATTCCGTTAGGACAAAGTCAAGTTCAAAAACCATTTTCTACTAGGAACTAATAAAATTGGCAGCCTTTTTAAAACACTGACTCTAAGTTTAAAAAACAGCATGTGCCTCAGTTAAATCGTAACTCGCAAAAATGAGGCCACACTGGGTAATTCCAAGGCTAGCCTGGACTGCAGGAAGTCTAGCTGGTGAACTTTACAGAAGCATCACTTACTTCTGAAAAAATGCTTGTTCCACTGTTACCACTGTTACCACCCCAGAGCTTTGGCTTGAGCTTGGGCTAAGGTCTTTCTTGGACTTTCATCACTTTATCTCACTGCATCACATCTGATGTATTGGCCAAATATGTACTGAGTCTTTAAAAGCACCCTAGAAATAAACTAACAAAAACCTTTTTTTAATTCACATCTCATTTTGAAAGCAACTGAAGATTGGAGCTTCTGAAATGCGAGCATACCCTCAACTCCTGCTGGGGACCTTTTGTAAGGTCATTACTTGCATTAGAAAAAACTACTGTTTGAGCACATAAGATTTAATAAATATTTCATTCCACTGTCCCACAGAGCTTAGGAGAAACAGAATCGATCAGTGTTCAACTGTTTATATGTATCTTGCTGTTTGAGTTACTTGCAAATTACTTTGAGTCAATAAATGACCTTGGAAAAAATTTAGCCACTGGTAGAGGTTACTTAGTGGTTTTACATAGAGTTTCCCATAGTACTGTGTATTCCCCCCTGCTATAGGCCCTTTTTCACAAATGGATTTTTCACTCATGGGCAAACATTATCTGGAAAAATAATGTTTTTAAATACCAGATCTATCCGTTAAAAGGTACCACGTGTTAGTCATGCCCAGTTGAACAAAACTTGCCCAGCCTGGTTTTGCCTCTGTAGATATAGTTCATAACTAATTTTTACAAAGCATGTTCTGAAGAACACCAAGCCCAAGCCCATATAATGCTCAGTGAATACAAGAGAAATAAATGTGAGAAGTACCAAGTTTTAGTCCTTACTTGGAGATTCACCATGCATACTACAGGCTCTCACAAGTCTCAGCTGTAAATTAATTAATTAACATGGTTTAAAGTTGCTTTCCCCAAATGTATTCAATCATGGAATGCTTTGTATAGTAACATTTATTAATAGGTTTTGGAACTAATGACTATTGGGTTAGAAGAAGAAACAGAAAAGGCATATTCTACTATATTTTATTATGCTCCCACACTGAGATGGGCACACTTACAAAAATTTTGTAGACCAGGATTGAAAAGTCTGTGTATTATTCTCTTTATATAGGTAAAATGTCTGCCTCTGGCCAGTTTACACCTGGGTTTAGAATGAGCTCACATGTCATTAGAAACCCAGGCTTGTGTGAGGTGAGACCAAAGAGACCTGTTTTTCAAACCTTCCTCCTTTAGAGAGAGTTGCGTGGGATGCCACATGACGTCATTCCCTCTTTCAAACCTCTTTGGAGAATGAAAACGAGCATCTGCCACTATTTTACTTTAGTCAAGCTTTGAAGTTCAAGAAAACTGATTTCAGTTGTTGATTTTGTGCAAATAAATACAGGCTACCCAAATGAGAAAACTCAAAGGTTACTTATTCAGAGCTTACCAAAGTGTCAGCCATTAGCACTTGTGTTTGGCCAACTCAAAGGTGGGCAGGGAAGTGAGAAACTTTTATAGTTTACAGAAAGAGAGGCTCCATGTTTCTACGTCTCTGAATTTATTTTGTTCATCAGTTTATTTTGTTCTTTAGATTCCACATGAGTGAGATCGTGTGATACTTGTCTTTCTCTATTTTGCTTAGCATAATACTCTCCAGGTCCCTCACTGTGAAATCTCAGAGGGAAGGCATGGGTGGGTGAGTGGAAAGAGATCAAGCAAAGAACTTATATGCATATATGCATAACCCATGGACACAGACAATAGTGCAGTGAAAGCCTGGGGTGGGGCAGAGGTGGGCTAGAAGGGGATCAATGGGGGGAAAAGGGGGCATCTATAATACTTTCAACAATAAAAATAAATGTTTAAAAGGGGGGGGGGGAGGCTCAAAGTATCCTATGATTAAAGTTCTTGGCATGAGGAAAGGACAGTTGGGCTGAGTAGAAGTGGGACTCCTTAGGCGACTGGTTTGGGGACATACTTTGCTTTTCCTGGTTGGGGCTAACCTATGGAACCTAGCAGTCACTGACCATGCTGAGCTAATTGTTGCAGAGGTTGTGGTTTGGTTGCCTGGGCTGGTTGCTGCATAGGTTTTAAGTTATAATTCTATTGTTATATATGGCCTAGCCACTGTCCATTTGTGTATTGTTTCTCAGTTTATAATATGGGCTTTGATGCTTTAAAAATATCAACCTAATTAAACCAATGACCCTTGAAAATGTCCAGAGTGATTGCTATGCCTGCTCTTGGCTACTTCTGGACAACGGCAGTCATTATGAATTCTATTTGTATGCAAATGCTCACCTAGAACAATACACAGTGAAGTAAAAGCACAGGTTTTATTATTTCTGTGTGATCCGGTTAGATGTTTTGCTTTCCTATTTCATGGCGCCTATTGCCGCTGCACCCAATGGCAGGTTTATAAGGTCTGTTTGGAATTTCAAAATTGAGAACATGGCAAAACAAAGAGGCCTATTGACATAGCCCCTTCAAAGGGAGCTGCTTACCTCTCTGCAGATCAATGATCTCTTTTGCTTTGTTTTCTCTTTGTTTCCTTATAAATCTACTAATGCCTTTGAATTTATCTAAGGGTCGTAATACATATACCCCAAATATCAACCCAAAAGTCTGGTATGAAATGACAACTGAGCTTCTACAATTCAGTAAAAAGGCAGTTCTGCCCTCCCCCTTTCTCTGCAGTAAAAATCCACAAGAATGACCCTAAAATCATAAATGAATGAAAATGAACTGAAAGGGGGTATAAAACAGGAAATCAGAAAAGTATCGAGTCATAGGCCAATTTAATGTGTTTAAGAGATTTGGTTTTAATAATATTTAACCTTTTTGTTTTCCTTTCTGGTTATAGTTGAAATGAATAGTCAGGTTGACAGTGTAAATGACCCAACAGAGAGTCAGCAAGAAGATTAACTAATAGGTAAGTTGTCCTTGTGGTGGGATTTTTAATTGGTTAAACTGGTCTGAGGAACTATTTGTAAATGGCATACTGGATTTCCCTCTACTCTACCAAGTCCCGCAGCATGGATCAGGCTAAACTTTAAAAATTTTTATACCAAATAACACAGTGTAAGGAGCAAAGATTCCCATAGAAGCCTGCCATCTTTCAGAGAAAAAGAAAAGCCACATCATATTCAAATCATGCAGTACTCTGGTTTTCTGAGCTTTGACAACAAGAAAAAAAAATGGTTTTCCATTCATCTCACCTCCTGGCCTCCTGGAGTGATTAAATTATTTCAGCAGCCCCTAGCTGATTCTGAAGTATTGCTTTTCCAGAATTTACCTGCTGAGTTGTTTTAGTAGATCTTTTTTTAAGCATAACAACTAAAGCTTTGCCCTGGGGAATGTGTAAAGCCCCTTGAGTATGTTTGGCAGAAAGAAACCTGTCTCATATCCTAACCTCTCGCACAACTACCTGTGGGCCTGTACGTCTGCACAAAGGTTTGTTGAGTTGAATGAGCCTCAGGGAACTCCAAAATCAAATAAAAGTCTGGGCCAGGCCACACTGAGGAGTTTTTCCAGACCAACACACTAAATCTCTCAGCAGAGAACGAAGTATATCTAGAATGATGAGTGGTCTATAAGTCTTTTCCATATCTTGAAAGCTGGTGAGAAAAATTAGAGGAAATAAGTCAGGCTTGCTATTCCAATTCCTAACTTAAAATAGTTAGCTATTAAAAAAAAACACCCTATGGAATAAATGAATTGTGGGTTGCCTAGTGTAAGACACAAATGTGTTGACACTGTTGCCTCCAGCACCGCCCTGCACTCCCTGTATCTTCTCAGTAGGTCTCTGCACCCCAAGGAGGCCCTACGGCACCAGATCCTTGAGTCCCAGCGTAACAGCAGAACAACGTTTGAAAACGTGTGAAAATACACACGCATCTGTCCTTCCCATCATGATCTTGAACATCATTTAGAACTAGATATAACAGAATTTGCATAATGCATGTATAGCATAGGACTGCTAAAAAATTATAAACACACACAAACATGGTCTTGAAACATGTCTTCTTTTTTTACTGATAACCTCATTCATATATTTTAAATATACTGCTAAGCTGCAAAAATGATATGGTAGAGAAGTGCCATTGAAAAGTAATGAAGTGAGACTAAACCTGAACATTATAAATACAAGTTCTTCAGTGTTGCTTTACCTTTTGCCCTTTAGTTGGCAACAACTGTAAACTTCTTGTCTGGATTTTTTTTTTCTTATAGACACTATTATTTTCCAGTGTGCTCAATTTCCAGATACTGTACCAGGGCAAATCTGTTTTCTGTGATCACTGTCAAAATATTTTCCTTGACAATAAACACCAATTTATACCTTTACCCAAATGAGTGAGTTGTCAAAACTTAAAGTTCAATATTAGTTTAAGGAAACTCAATTCCAGGAAGAGAAGGGGCTCACACAGGGTCACTTGGCTGGTCAATGGAAGTTTAGATACTCCAAGTACAAATTCTTTGATGTCACCATATTATTCCTCAAACAATAGTGAGGTGTTTTTTAACACAGGTGTCACAGAGAACAGTATGACCTGAGGAATTTCACTGATTCCTACAGAAATATTTAGGCAGTTAGGTTTGTAAACGTTATCTGGTAGTTCAACAGGAAGAAAGAACCTAACCTTTAGTTCTGTGTATCATACCTGTAAGGAAATTGAAGAACTTACAGTGAAACTGAATTAGAATTAGAAAGATCAAAGACATAATGCAAAAATGTTTCGTGTTCTGTAATTTATAATTGTGAAAAATCAGGGGTATCAAAAATAACAATAAGGGAACAAATTAATGGAGAAACAGAACATTCTGCAAATGTAAAAATAATTTGAATAAGTATTTGAGGGCATGTAAAGATGGTTATGGAACTACAGAAATTTGGAGAAATATGGCAGGTGGAGGGGGTTGTAGCTTCCAGTTTGGGTATCAAGAGGCCTTGTAGCTTCCATTTTTGTTCACTCAGAATACCCGCTCCTGGAATCCAGCCACCTTATGTGAAGCTCAGGCACATCTATAGAATGACAAAGGCCACATGGAGAGAAACTCAGAGATCTTCTGTGATGTTCTGGTGCTAGTAGAGACCACCTGGAGCAGATAAACTGCCCAGTTGAGGCTAGACCAAATTATAGAATCATGAGAAATAATAAGTAGTTGATATTCATAGCCACTAAGTTTTGGAATTGTTTGTAATGTAGCAATAGGTAACTGAAGCAATGGAAGTAATACAGAACTCCTCTCAACACAAATACTTACAAATGAGAGATAAACTATAACAAAAATATTTTAAAGTACAAAGCTCAATGGACATAAAAGCAAAAGGCACCAGGAGTAATGAGGAAAATGAAAGCCAAAACAATAATCTGGTGAGCTGGAGATGCAGCAACCCTAAGGGCTACAGATCGTTGTTGATGCAGAAATAGGCCCTATGGCTAGGGTTTGGGTTCTAATGCCCACCTGGGACCTTGAGCCACTCAGGATAAGAAGCCAGAACTGATACCTCTACATATATAAATCTGGGACTCTCAGCTCAAGAAATTAACAAGGAGATGTGGGTCTGCCCAGGGTGCAGCATGGAGAAAGAAAAAGACTCCCATCATAAGTAGAAAACATAAATGCACCATGACATTGCAACAAATTCATGCCATCCAAAGTCATATAGTAATATACAAACAAAAATTAATTTATATAGTTGATTATAGGTAGCAAATGGAAATACCACTTGGAAATGTCACAGAAGAAAAAATATCTAAAGATGAGTTCACAATATTTTTGTTTGCATTTGTTAATCCTCAGCCAAGGATATTTATTCCATTGATTTTTAGAGAAAGAGGGAGGGAGGGAGGGAAGGAAGGAGGGAAGGAAGAAGGGGAGGAAGGAGGGACGGACGGAGGGACGGAGGGAGGGAGGGGAATAGGAAGAAAGAGAAACATTGCCTCCTACCCACATCATAGCAGGGCCAGGGATGGAACATGCAACCCAGGTATGTGCCCTTGACTGGGAATTCAAACCTGTGACCCTTCAGTCCACGGGCTGATACTCTAACCACTGAGCACACCAGCCAGGGCGAGTTCACAATTTTAAGACATAAAACACACAAGGAAGTGATCCATCAAAAATGAGAGTTGGTCGGTGGGTAAAATTACAGGATAATTAGTACCATAAGCACTTGAGAGAATAGAAAATTTTGAAGACTTGATAAAGTAAATATACATAAAAATGACAAAAAGATGAAAAGCAGATATAAAATAAGAGCAACACTATGAAAAATTAACAATAATTTGGAAAAAGCGAATAAAAGTGTAGTAATATAAAAGACACATGAAGAGACATGAAGGATAAGACATAACCAAGATGTTTTGTGTTCAATAGCCATTTTAAAAGGAGATAGATTAACAATATCTGAAAGATAATGACAGAATTTATTAGAGTTGATAATAGTCATGAATTTTAAGTTAAAGGAAGAACAATAAGTCGCAAGAAAGATGTATATTTAAAATAAATCCACATGCAGGCACTATAAATCCACCAAATAAATCCACCAAAGAGAAGAAATTAAAGCAATTTGAGAGACAAGGAGCTAACCTAGAAAGCAGTCAGGATTGTGTGAATAGTAGGCTTTCCAACAAATGTTTAGGTCAGAAGACAGTGAACTAGTTGTGAGTTTTCAAAACTTGGATACAAATAATTGCCAATATAGAGTTCTAGACTAGTTGCCCTATCACTTAAGAAAATGGTATTTGCCATTTTTCAGGTAAAAAAAAATTGCTACTCAGATTCTTTAAAAGCTCCTACATATACAACAGGAAGAAGAAAATTGAGCCCAGAGGAAAGAGTAGGATGCAGGAAACAATTGTGAGCTAAGAAAAATTGTAAGCACAAAGGCAAGTCAAAATAAATATTGACTATAGATTTATAATAGTAATTGGTGTGTGGTTAAAAACAGGGCAAAACAAAACTACTATTTATGTACATTTTGTAATATACAAAGTAATGCTATATACTTTTCATTATATGTGTGCATGTTATAAATATATGTATTTAAAAGTATAAAACTATGTAAATTATTGATTCACACCAATATTAGGATTTGGTCATCTTTGTGAAGGAAGAGAAATAGTTTTACTTTATCTGTAAATTAAATTAATTTATCTGTAATGTTTTATTTCTTAAAGTAAAATGAAAATTAAAAATAAAACATTACAAGGGAATTTGAAAAATATGAACACATTAAATCTGGATAGTAGATCTATTCTAAATATGTTATACTATTGCCTGTAATTTTCTTCATGCTTACAATTTTCATTGTTAAAATTATGTATATATGTAGGAAAGATACAGAAAAATCCTATAAGGAAATACTTCATTATATGCTTTTTAAAAATAGCGTATTAACTACAGAAGTTATTGCTAATGCGAAGATTATGCAGGATTCTTTCTTTCCTTATCTACTTATGGATATTTTTAAAATTGTCTATAATATTGCTTTTACATACACCTACAAACCTCAAAGGTATTTTTTTCCCAAAAGAATTCATAGGATACCAGAGTAAAAAGTTAGCCTTGAGGACATCTGCTCCAATTCTTTCTTGGAGAAATGTGGAAATTTATGGTGACAGAAATCAGATCAATCATTGATCTGGGATGATGGCTATGCTTTACATCTTGATAGTGATGTGAGTTAAATTTACGCATTTTTTCAAAACAGACTGAAGTATGTTTTAGGCCTGTGCATTTCCCTCTATGTGGATTTATACCTTGTTTTTAAAAATATAAAGTCTATAGGCTCTTGTAAGGCATGGTATCTTCTTAGAGTCCTCTCAGGTGGAGAACACAGCAGAGACTTAATAAGATCTCAAAATGTGGACTAACCATCAACAACTTTTGCAAATCAACATTATATAAATTGTATATAATTTGTGATTATTATGATTTTTCTGTTGAGCTATGGAAACTAGAGTGTATGAATGGTCCCAAAAAGGGAGGGCACATCCAGTCAAGGTGAGGTTTTTAAAAGAATCCTTTGAAGAGTTGGGTTAATCATCCCCATCAGCTGAAGCAACTTGTCAGTGTGGCATACATTTATTAAACAGTGATTAAGATGCTTTTTAAAAATACCATGTGCCAACAATTACAGCTTAGATATCCAAAGTCCTCTGATAGTCAAATAAAATATTCCTAGGCCTGCTTGAGGGGTGAGAAACATTTAAATGGCTGTATAGTGGTTCCACTTATCTAGAGTTTTGCTTTTCATGGCTTCAGTTATTTGCTGTTGATTGCAGTCTGAAAATATTAAATGGAAATTCCAGATATTTTGAGGAAGAGAGACCACATCCCTATAATTTTATTAAAGTATATTGTTATAATTATTCTATTTCAATATTAGTAATTCTGGTTATTCTCTTACTATGTCTAGTTCTTAAATGTTATCATCGGTATGCATGTATAGAGAAAAACATAGAATATATAGGGTTGGGTATTATCTGGGGTTTCAGGCATCCACTGGGAGTCTTTGAACGTGTCCCTCCACTTAGATAAGGGGCAACAATTGTATTAAAATGATATTCCTGCCGTTGCCGAGTGGCTCAGTTGGTTGACGTGTCCTCCCATGCATTAAAAGGCTGCAGGTTCAATTCCTGGTCAGGGCACATACCTGGGTTGCAGTTCAATCCCCATTCGGGATAAGTATGGGAAGCAACTTGTCAATATTTCTCTCTCACATCAATCTTTCTCTCTCTCTCTCTCTCTCTCTCTCTCTCTCTCTCCCCCCCCCCTCCGTTCCTCTCTCTAAAATCAATAAAAACACATATCCTCAGTTGAGGATTTTTTTAAAATATATATTCCTTGCTAAGCTTTTTATAAAGATGCTTTATCTTTAATCTAAGAGCTGGTTTCTCCTTGTCTTTGGCAGGGGCACAAGATGAAGCAAAGGAACAAAGAAATGGAAGTAGATGCCAGTCCTCAGCATTACAGCCTCTGCTGGCCCTGGGGGAAGAGTGGGAGCCAGCAGGGGTGCTGTGGAGGAGGGTGGGGGTGGGGGAGGCAAGTCCCACACAAGGATGGGGAAACCTTTGCTCTAATTTCTCAGCTGCATTTTGTTCTTTTTACTTGCAGAAAAAGAAAAAAGAAAAGAACCTTTCTTTAACTTGGTGGGGCGACCCACATTAACGCATCTTTCAGGCTCTGTTCCTGCAATTTCTGTCTTTTTTCTCACAATTGCGCCCCAGCGTCATGGTTTAGCACTCACATGTGTATCCTGGCCCTGTCTGCTTTCTCGGTTATTTCACAAAGCTGGTTGGACAGTGGTCTCTTCAAAGAAAGGAGGAAGACCATTGTTTTGATAAGCTGCAGGCTAAATTTCAGGAATCGCCAAGCCCAATATCAGTATAATCCACAGGCAAAAGAGACAGGAGAGGAAATGGGCAAAACCTTCAGAAATCACTTGGGAAAAGGTCAGGATGGTGACTTGAAAATGATACCTTCTTCAGGGATTCCCACGGCACAGGTTACAGCTTTGTTGAACATGTGGTTAGAGAGGAATATGCCAGCAGGGCTTCATCCAGAGCCGAGCACAGAGATGTACAGGAGGGCAGGCCCTGACAGCTTCCATGCCTCTCCTTCCATGGGTAGGACGGCAGGGATGTTCTTATTTGACACTGATGTTTAGCAGAGCTTTCTCGGTTTGTGAGGTCTTTACCGAGTGCATCAGTGTGGAGCCCCCCAGTGGGCTGTGAGTCAGTGTGACACCATCCTGAGGGATGACACTTTTCTAGGTGTTTTAGTGAAGAGGGGGGGCTGCTGCATTTAGGATCCAAACATATGCCTGTGATATTAAAAGCTCCACTTGGAATCTCTCTTTATATACATGCTTTTCATAAAAATAAAACATGTTATCTTTACCCAAGGTTTGATGGCCTGCAGAGCAGATTCTCACTTGAAATTAGAGGCAGTGAGAGGTCTCGCTTGCAATTTTGGCTTCCAGTTCCCTTTAAACAGTGTGGCTTGCCCATGCCAAGTCCAAGACTAATGTGATAGCTGGCCCCCTCTCTCAGCAGATTATGACCATTAAAGGGGGGAGCAGCTGTAGTTAAGATCCAAGAGGCCAGAAGTACAGTTGGCACAGGGATGAAGGACCCAGGAAAAGGTCAGACGTCACAAATGTCTATCCAAGAGCCAACATGAACAAGGACCCTCATGGGGCAAGATGACTGCTTCCCACAGCCTCCTTGGGTCCCAAGACCATCCCCTCCACCCCCGCTATGGAAACTTATCATTTCTTGCATAGCTTCTTAAATCCATCTTTCTTATAAGAGCTTTAGAACTGTAAGTTATTTATATACATTTTTCTTAGTAGAGGGATAAAAGTAATGGATCAAATCGAGTATTTCTAAAATAAAAGGATGTTTTGCTTTTTAAATATTCCATGAAATTCTTCAGTTTTGCCCTTTCCTCTATGGAAATTCAACTCCTTATCTTTCTGTGAAAGCTGTGTTGGCCTCTCTGAATTTGTTGCCCTTGTGCATAGTTTATTTGGTATACTGAAATCAAGTGTGAGTTACAGTTCTGCATATGTAATATGATTTTTAACAGTCCATATTTTTAAAAAAATCTCATCAACCTAGCAGCAATGCTTCTTTTAAGTCAGTGGTTCTCAACCTTCTGGCCCTTTAAATACAGTTCCTCATGTTGTGAACCAACCATAAAATTATTTTCGTTGCTACTTCATAACTGTAATGTTGTTACTGTTATGAATCGTAATGTAAATATCTGATATGCAGGATGGTCTTAGGCGACCCCTGTGAAAGGGTCAGGGTCGTTCGACTGCCAAAGGGGTCGAAACCCACAGGTTGAGAACCGCTGTTTTAAGTGACCTCATGATTGTGGAACTTGGCCATGTCTCCGGCCATTTATTCTACAGCCTTCCACTGCCATTAGACATCACTTTCTGGGGGGGTGGGGGGGGGGGGGGAGGAGAATCAATTTAAATTAATCCAGAAACGACACCATATTAATACTATTTTTTTCATAATTTATGTCATCTTTATAAATTTTTTAAATACGTTTTTATCCATTCAGAGAGGAAGGGAGAAGGAAAGAGAAAGAGAAAAACATCAATGATGAGAGAGAATCATTGATTGGTTGCCTCCTGCAGATCCCACACTGGGGATCAAGCCCGCAACCCAGACATATGCCCTGACTGGTTCATAGGCTGATGCTCAACCACAAAATCACACCTGCTGGGCTGATCTTTATAACTTAATTGAAAGTCACTGTCCCTCTTCTGAAAGAGTTGACAAGTGCAACCTGGTAGGAGCACACATTCCTGTGACTACACATGACAGAGAAGAGAGGAAACAGAAGAAAGAGACCTAATATACCTGCTAGGAACATTGGGATTGGAATTATTTCAGTCCTGGTGTTCTCTTCATCACCCAGTGCAGCCATTTTATTCATTTATTTTCAATGTGGGGGAGGCCAGGAAGGCATTCTCTGCCTGAACACTACCGAGAAAGGAAAGTCAGTTTTGTGGCCAGGAAAGTGAGAGGGTGGGGAGTAACTGTCCTCAGCCCCACTCTCAAAGTTGTTTAACCTTCATTTGATGATTGAATTGTGCTTTCATTTTTGTTTTCTTATGCTGTTTGATTGCTATTGGGCTGTAAGATTTTATGCTTTAAAATAAATGATGAAGTGAATTTCCATTTTAATAGTAAAATATTAAACATCTAGCCACGAGCCAGATCGAAGACAACTGAACAGAAGACATCTTCATTTCACTGCCACTGTCGTTGCACAGCTACACGATGGAAAGCTGGAAAAGCCGATTGGCTCTCCTACACGTGAATTCTGGATGTCAATTCCCAGCCACACTGCAGCCCAGCGATGTGGCATGAGGGGCTACAGGTTAAGGGTGGGAAATAGCCCCCCATTAGTCATGTTTGCACACAGAGAACGAAGTAGGCCTTCCACAGAATAGTTCTAATTAAAAAGGTACTGACTGTAGGAGAGACAAAGGGGCTTGTCCTCTGGCTGGTTAACTATTCAGATGATGGACAATCCTTCTTTCATAAAAACATACAAAGGAGGCATCCGGAACACTGTCTATGATACTGGGTCACATATTAGTCACCGCAGCTAATTGTAAATCTTTCTGTGAAACACTGAAAAGCCTCTTTGTGAATTAATTCAGTTCTGCTTGATGCACTTGATTTGAAATGACATTCCCCTGTATGTGGTGCATGTCGGCTTTGCTTTGACAAATAACAAAGTTAGCAGAATGTTTAATATATTTTCTTGGGGAGTAGGGTTTCTATCATATGATTCATTAAGGATTTGCCTTACCCTGACATTTGTGATATAAAGGAAAATCAGAAAAAAAAGTAATTTTCTTGATCAAGATATGTTTTTACTTAATGCAAATAAATGTAGTCTGTGGCTTGCAAGGAAAAATATGTCTTCTGATATCTGGTATAAACTGCTAAGTAGAATAATACGTGCCTCTTATGTTAAACCAGCATTTAAATGCTGAACTGCTTCTAAATCTGTTTGTTTCTTTTCATCTTTGCCATACACTAAGAACCTAAACAACTGTTGCCTTCATACTATATTTGTTAGAGCAGAATACAAATAAAATTTGTTTGAGAGGATAAGGTGGAATTATCTGTGGTTTGTGCAATTTGTTCCTTAGTCATGAGCAATTAACAACTCAAAATGAACATTAAATACTTTATTTTTGGTTGCAAATATGTATTTAATACTGCCCTGTTAAATCAACTTTAACTTACCAACATTCTTCCCTTTCTAATACTGGTTAATGCTTTGACTATGTTTTTCAACTATAAACTATAAGCAAATCCCATTGTGTAATTTTCCTCTCAACACTAGATAGCTAATCACACTAGCCTTTGAGGTGCAAGATACAAGTCATTAAGATAAAGCCAATGGTTCTATGAACGTCAGTACATCCTTCAGAACCCATCATTCATTATTATTTTTTATTTATATTTTATTGTTGACCATATTACACATGTACCCTATTTCCCCCACTTTGCCCCCCTCTACCTAGCCCCTGCCTTCAACACACTATTGTCTGTGTCCCTAGGCTACCAGGCCAGGTGTCTGAGTCCCCCATGCTGCCAGGCCCAGCATCACAGGCGCAGATTTCCAGCCCAGAGCTGTTCAGCAGGTAGGAGGAAGGGGCTCCTACCCTGTGCTTGAGTTGAGGAGGATCGACCCTTTCCCCTGGGACACTATGCCTGACCCGGTCCTGCTCTCTGCCAAAAGTTCTTTCAGAGAATAAACAGTCCCTCAGATTCACTGCTGGGTGAACCGGTCAGACCCCTCCACTGGCCCCATGTTCCACTGACACAGACTGGGACAAACTTCCCGGCAGGTGTTGTAACAAAGCACTTGCTCTGGGCCTGGGATAGTGTGGGCTGAACTGCCCGCCCAGCTGGACCCAATCACCACTAATTCCCCTTGCCCAATGCTACATGGGCTGTGGATTGGGGATCTGGACTGGGGATCCCTGCCTGGGGCTGAGACCCCCCCTCCCCTCACTCCCAGGGAACAGGGGCTGCACACCTTCCTTCCAGCTCTCCAGCTGCACAGCTGCATGATTTCACTTACTCTCTATGCATTTCTCTGTCCTCTCTCTGCACTCCCCGCTCACAGTATTTCAGATCAGCTATTTTTCAAATGGTTTTTCGGACCGAATGTTCTTCAGTTTAGCTGCACATCCAGACCAGTGCAAGGAACAAGTGGACAAAACTTCCCAAATCTGAGCCATCCTGGACCCCGCCCCATCACTCATTATTGGGGTTCTCTTTGAGCACTTTTTATGAGCCAGTCCCAGTGCTGGCTATGTGATCACCCAGGCATGATCTTCCTCAGTCTATTGTTGATAGAATTATGATTGAATTACATAATTGTTAAGAGTGTGACAATTAATCAACAAGAATCACTATGTGAAAAACTCAATGTTCCTTTGAAAATGGAAATCTGTGTTCCATCAAATTTAATCCCCTCCGTTTCCTATAGAAGAGGTGCTATCTGGTTTGTTGTTCTAGAAAGCAATCAAGAAAGTCAACCCCTTTATCCATGAAAGTCAGAAATGTAGTAGTTAA